GCCTTGCTGTGCTTTCTGTGCTTTCTATGGAGCACTAGGCAATTTGTCGGCCTCTTGGCTTTTGGTCAGAATGGGTTTTCATGAATTTTTAAGTGAAATTTCATTTGTGAGCAAGTTGCTGGCCCAAGGAACGGTCGGGCCCAGGTCGAAGCCCAGGACCTAACCAGCACGCACACACTCGCACACTCACAGGGTAACGGGGATCTGTGTGCAAAGTTTTTGGCTTCTAAACTTTGCGTAGAGTGTAGGTATCAGTGGCAGCAACTTGCAATTTGAAGTGGCTCAAAGCGACTCGACTCAGCTAGAGTCGTCGAGTGGCGTTTACGAAATTTGTTCACAAGTCGTCGTCCTGGTCCTCGTCTTGGCGCTGGTCCTTCCCCAGGACTCCCTACAACTAGTTGCAATTTGTTTGCAAAAGTTTTAACACCATTTAGTCGGTTTCATATGAAGACAATTAAGCGAACGATTAAATTTATATTATCAAGGGATAAAGTTCCCTTTCCTTCGACTCTCAGTCGTAGGACTATATGTATCTATGACTCTGCGAATCTGTGACTGTGTCGGGGCTGGTGCTGGTGTCTTTCACTATCTACATACACATCTTGGTCCGCTCAACTTTTTGGCCTTGTAAACATTCCCTTTTTTTGGGGGAACAGAACGGTAAAGGAACGATGGCAGAGACAAAGGCTCGCATACGGCACGGCGTTGCACGACTTTCATATTCATATTCGCATTTAAACTTGCGTTATTTTTTCAAGGCCCACACTGTTCTGGCTTTGGCTCTGGCTCTGGCCCCTGCCAACTCCCCAAAGCTCATTAAATACACATTAAAGTTTAATTATAAACATTTTGCTCTTGCACTTGCCAGCAAAATGGCCAAAAAGGACGAGGACGAGAACGAGAACGCTGCCGGAGCGAGGTAGTGGGCGGAAAGCACCAAAAAGTGGCAAAAAGCGCAAGCGAAAGTCAAAGCAATTTTCCCTCTTTGCACTCTCCCCGACATCAAGAATGGCATATGGACTGCATCTCCCAGGTAATTGTCTCGACATGGGATTCAATCCCGCAAAATAGCAACGTATGCAGCGGAATGCATTGCAATCGACAGGATAAGATAAAGATAGTATGGAAACTGCAAGAGACTAGTGGGGAAACCCAACGTTTCCTGCCCGATAGAGAAGATCTTTTAGTGAGGAAGAAAGTAGAATTATTGTTATAGATTGTCCTGGGACATTTTTAAGGAGTTAGAAAAAGGAACACCGAGTCTTGAGTGCTGATTGATTATTGGACTTCCACGCCGAATCATTATGGAAGACAGAAGAGGTGCTCTGATGTAGGATACAGGCAAACCCCATCATCATCGGGATGTCCCACACAGATCGTAGCGCACAATATTTGTAATGGCCGCACTTTGCATGCGCCCTTCCTCCGCTCGGGTCCACTCCAAATGACTTTTATAAATGCCATGAATGTATATGTTTATATATGTACGACTATATACATTTTTGTTGCCGGTTTTTCTTTTCTTTGTTTGTTGTTTTCTGGGTGGTGGTGGTGGTGGGAAACATAATTTTTAACGCAGCACTTCCTTCAACCGAGGAGTGGAGTCGTGGATTGGTATTGCCTGGAGCCTGGATGAGGCAGAGGGTGCTCTTGGTGGCACGGAGCAGAGTCATTTTCACTGGCCCTTGCAGCGGCCATTTAACATTTCACATTTAACATTTCACATTTCGCACTTTGCACTCGTGCAGCTAATTTCGCCTTAGCCCTACACACTGTCCCACCGTTTGCACGGAATTCTCCTCACCCCAAAAATAATGGAATGAAATGCTGAAGACCCCTTAAAGTTTTCTGGTTTAGGACCCCAGCGAAGTGCTAATAAGCCCGACGCAGAGCCCAGAATGGCTTTAAACAAAAGACAGAACCCCAAAAGGGAATCGAATGAATGAAGTAGGATTGAAATCGAATGGAATTTCATTGGCAGGAGGAAGGACAATGCCTTCGATGCTTATCGGCATTTAATGCGGTGGCCTCCAATGCTCCACTCCACTGCCACTGCCACTGTCCCATCCACATCCACATCCACTATTTTGGGCCCCGCCAGACAGTGGGACACACAAATACAGAGCCCCAGAAAGGGATACACATTCAATATCGTTTTACTTATCGTTTGGCCATAAAAATTGCCAGCCCAGAAAATTGTTTAGTCCTCTTGGCATGTCTGGCACTTTGAGAGATTGGCCAGCAGCACACCGGGAGGGGGCTCTATCTATACGTAGTAGAGGGGCTAGTGGATTGGTTTGCAGTTGAAGCTGCCAGCCTTATCGCGCCCATGGTGGGGAGGGGGTTCCATTTTGGGGCTTGTCTAGTTTTATGGCGGCCAGGCGAAATGTTTCGATTTATTTGCGGCCAAATCTGCACATCGTCGTCGCTTTTCCATGATGATGATGATGATGATGATGTTGAATTAAAGTTGTGGCTAGAAGAGTTGCAACAAAAGGCAGAGGAGGGTGTTGGGAGTGAGGGGGTCTAAGCACCAGCCCAAGACGGATATTTTGGGGCCATTTTGTAATTTTAGTTTATTGCAGAACATTTGCAGCCATTGACAGCTCGACATTGAACTTGATCAACGCCAAATGGCGGATTGAAGGGTAAGATTGGAAAAAGGGGATGAATTGGTGTTAAAGGGGCACAGAAAACTAACCCTGACAACCGCCATTGACTTGACTGGCATTTCAAATGCAAAATACTGCGCTCCACAGAACAATCGGCAAAGCATACCAAAATCGAATCGAATGGAAACTGAGGCTTAGATATAACGTCTCTCCGATACTCTTTCTGTCCATGATCTGGTGTTTAATTTTGATTGGTAAATTTGTCTCTGAATAATTAAAGTTCCCTGACGAAAAGTCGTTAAAAATGTGAACAAATCAAGTCCAAAATAAGCATTAATAAGGGCTAACCAATACCCTAAGCTTGCGATCTGGCGAGGCCGCAAATGTATCCGATTTTTATTGAAATCAAAAGAATCATAATCATAGAATAATATATACATATGTACAATCTCGGTTAAGGGGTTTTAATCGGGTCCCATCTCGTGTCGGGACTCGTTTTTAGTAAAAATTCACATCGATTCGATTCTTGTTTTGAATAAAAATTTAATGAAACCATTCTTAAAGTTTGGTGATTGTGGACAGGCTCCAGTGAACCCCATTGATCTGTAATCCCTCCGAGAAAAGATAAATCGCATTCCGATATTCCCCATTTCGCACCTTGAGGGGTATGTATTCAACAAACTTCCTGTTTCCGGTTTCCGTTCCCATTCAAATTCCATTTCCACTTCCACTTCCGCTTCTGTTCCTGCTGCGGTTGTCACTGACAGCGGTTGGCTGGCAATTAAAAACTTTGCAAATTTTGTTGCCTTCAGCTGTTTGTTTTTGCTCTGTCGCTTTTTTTTCATTCGTATTTTCACATGAAATGGCTTCTACGGGCATTTTAATGGGGCCATGTTCGGGGGGCATTTTCGGGGGTCATTTCAATCAGACTCGCTGTAATTCGCATGCAAATTGCAAAACTTAAATTAAATGTCGCCAAATAAACAAAAACGGACCTACAGCAAGTAAGGAATGTCAAATATAACTTTATATACCCTTCAAAATACATTGTTTATTGTCAAAAGAATGATCTTAAGATCGATTGTTCATATGATATAGTCTTGAAGTTTCATTTCAGTATTCTATATTTTTTGTAGTTCTCCTTAACTATATCTGAGGGAACTAGCTTGAAAAGAAATAAACAGAAGCGCAAGTCCCAAAATAGGTTCAGGTTGGGATACCTACGTTGCAGGGTATGTTCTGGGTACGGTACAGTCATGAAAAGGCAACAAGAGAGACGAAACGCCAGCGGACACAAATACAACTCTGCCGAGGGCCGTTTGGCAGCAGTCAGCTTTTGTCAGGCGGCATAATAAAATAATTAATTGCTCGCAGGCCACGGACATCTGTGCGGACAACGGACAGAGGAAAACGGATAGCGGATAGTGGATAACGGACAGCGGACATCGCCCGGGGTCCAGCGGCAAGCCAATTAAATGGGCTGCACTTGATTATTAAGTGATTTATGCTGAGCACCTGGCTTAGCAAGGAACCACCCACATCCCCAGCCGGCCCCCGGTCCTGCACTTTGTCCTCTTCCCTGCAGCTCAATTTGTAATTTGTGCTAATGAGTGCCTTAATTTAACGCCTGATTAACGCTGCGGCCAGCATGGGGGGATGGATCAGGCTGAGACCCAGCCCCCGGTCCAAAGTCAAAAGGTCAGTTCTCTGGGGGTATATGGTTTGGGGTTTTCTGACTTACAAGGAGCTTTACATCCTCCTCCTGTCTGTCTGTTTGTCTGTGTCTCTGCATGTCTCCTCTCATCCACCATCGCATTTGTATCATTTTGGGGCTTAATTATGATTAATTGTTATTGTGTGGCCTGTGTTCCCTTTTCAATGGCTGTTCAATGCTTTCCGCGCAGGCAAATCGCTTCGGTGCAGTACAGTAATGAAATGAATCATGGCAGGAGAATAGACTTACGAAGTGGAGATTAATGTTAAACATTCAGGCCAAGATGAAGAGTTGGAGGCACTATGAAATCATTAGAAACGCATACATTCTTAGTCCCAAGAGATCTGACTATGACAGTTTTGGGAAGGCTAAACAGCTTTTTTATTCAAAAGAAATAAACGAAATTCATACTAAAACAATTCTCAATAAGAAGTCCTTGCCTTTAAACTCAGATCGATTCGAGATTCGGGCTGTCAAGTTCTGAGTTTGGGGCTCAGCCAGAAATGTTTCAGTTACGTCGAGTAGTTCTCCGAGAGAACACATACTTAGTATACAAATTTTGTGTGTGTAGAACAAAAAAGTAAGAATTTTAGTTTTTTAATAAAAAAAAAGAGAAAACAAACATCAAAATTAAAACGAAAAATAATTTGGAAATATGATTCTTCTCCGAATAGACCGACTGGATTAGACGCCGCGCTGCAACGAGGTTGGGTGTGCAATACGGTCAGGTGGAATGTTGAACTAGACGTCCCGCAGAGCCCTCGCATGTGACCACCACTTCACAACCACCATCGAAGATATCCCGGCCATCAATTTGCCAAAAGTGCTCAAAGCCAACGCTTCGGGAGTTCTTTCAAGTGAGATCTCTGCCCTTCTCCAGGATCTTCTTGCCACACCAAGTGCAATGCGGGTCGCCTCAGACGCTTTACGCCTGCGTTGTAGCATCCTAAAATTTTAGTGAAACTTTTACATAGACTATATACGGTAAGTGAATCATTCTACACGTAATTTGAGAGATTGCGTCTCTTTTTCTGATTTTAAAGATGAACTTGACTGAGAACCATTACTGTCATTTGCAGGATAGAATCTATGCGGACTCGGAAATGTACTTGGACCATTCTTTGACGCTGATTTAGATTTGGGATGTGGAGTAGGCATACTAGAACTCTACCTTTATGGTGGTGCGGAAAAGTGTTTATTACACTTCCAAGCATAACCATATAAATAAAGAGATTTTTGCCTACCAAAAAATCTATTAACATGTCTGATAAACACCAGAAGGCACAGGAAGGATGGTCTTATCCGCGCAAAAGAGGGAGACGACGACCCGTAGGAAGCAGTACCAATATACAATAATTAACAACACTGTTTTAAGGGCAGAATAGCTGCGATGCATCCATCGCCTCTCCTATTTTGGCGGTTACGAGTCATATAGCTGCTACGTTAAAATATACAGCTCTGTGTCAGGATTCACACAGATAATGTCTTAGCTGAGGGACATCTCGATTCGGCTTTTGATGGTGCCGAATCGCGTCTCTGCGTTAAAGGTAAAGAAACCTACCAAAGAAATCATCGATGACATCTAAAGTCTCTTGAAAAATGAAAGTGAATGAGAGAAAAATCGACAGAAGGAGAAAGTAAACGTAAATGAAAGCATTAAGAAAACCAAAGTGGAAGTGTTGAAAGGCCAAGAGGAAGGTAAAACGTCATATACCATGCTAAAAATAAACAACAACAACCTTGAAAGTGGTAAGGGAAACCAGAAGAAGGTGGGCCAGAAAATTAGTCAAAGGCGATGCAAAAGGAAAAAGAAAATCGGGTGCAGGACAAAAGCTAATGAACTAATTCAGTTGGAAATAATCAAACATTCTCAACGTAGGGCACACAGAAAGGTATAGGTATAGGGGGAGAGAGATGCAGACGAGAATACACCCACTCAGATTCTCAGATGCTCAGATAATCAGATAGTCACATGAGAGCCATATCAAAGTGCACTCAAATAGATACATTAGTCGTCACTTCATAATGACATTGATGGCTCCGTTAACAGGCACAAAAGAGGGAAATTCACGGAAAAGTTTGCCAGCCTCTCCTTCTGCCCTTGAAGCTTCTTTTCTGGGTCTGGGTCTGGGTCCTTCTTGCCTGTTGGTTAGCAAAGATTGGCAGGACTGACAGGGAAGGCCAGCGCCGGAAAGGACAGAGCAGAGCTGAGCGGAGCAGGGGAACAAAAACTTTGGCTAGTTACTTTTACAGTTATTATTGAAAGCTGCAAAAACTTTGGCTTATTTCATTACGCCAAAACTTTTCATTACGCAGAGGGAGGCTGAGAGGCTGTGAGAGTGGGCGAGGCGAAGGCACAGCATGTGCGTGGGAATGCCATAATGGTAACACAGATCCATTCCATGCTTCACCATCTCTCGCCCTCGCTCTCTCTCCCTCTCCCGCTTATCAATGCGAAAGTTTTTGCAAAAGTAACCAAAAACAGTGAGAGGCAAACTTGATCCTAACTAGACGACATATCATGTGACCCTTCAAACACAAAGTGCCAAAGTCAAAGCCATTTGAAACGTCAAGCAAATTGAATTGAAAGAGAGAGTGTAGTGTAGAGGACTCCAGATACTAGAGCCCATATCCCAGATCCCTGCTCCGTAATAGCCCTGATAATTGTCCCTGGGCTATGGTTGGGATAGCGGCTGAAGAAGTGGTGGGCGAGCCAGAGCCCCGTCCAATTGAATTGCGTTTGACGTGTGAGGCTTTTAAGGTTTTTTATTACATTTATGAACACACAACGAATCGAACGGCAAAGCCAAGGAAAGGCAACATTATTGGGCCAGGTCTGAACGGCTCGCCGTTGAGTGCTTGAGTGCCTGGTTCTCCCGTCTATGTGATATCCGATATGAAAATTGATTTGTTTGATTAATGTCCTATTGTCCAGTGTCCCGGGTCTCCTGACCACTGTCCATTGTCCATTGTGTATTGTCGTTATCCCTGACGAGGACATGTAACCGAGGCCTTATTAATTGCCATCTAATTGCTCACGGTCACGCAACTCTCCAACAAAACCAAAACCAACAAAAACAACAGCAAAAAAGACTAAAAATTCTAGAAAAAGGAAGCATTTTTGCTGCACTAATTGAAAAAGTCGTCGTACAAAAGTTATTTATATATGTATGTCCAACATATACATACATATAGACGTACCAGCGCTATATATATCCCCAGTAAAAATGCAAATTAATTTGCACCACAAACTTCATCAAACTAGGGTTTAAAAAAAGGAACAGGGGCGGAGAGAGAGTGAGAGTGAGAGAGTGTGAAAAAGATGGAGAAAACAAACATTTTCACACCATAACCAAATTAAAAGTTCTGCCAACTAAAAAACAATTTGTAAGCCAAAGTTGCAGTTGCAGTCAACTGCCAACAGGGAGAGAGAGAAAGAGAGATAGACATAGGGATAGGGATGGGGGCCGTCCAGGAGCAGGGGCAGCAGCAGGGGCTGGGGCAGGAGCAGCAAGAGATGGAGCTACTGCTGTTGCATTCCGCTTCTGGCCCCGCGGGGCACTTTGTGTTGTTGCTTATCTAATCAGCGCAGTTGGCGCCACATTTCAAAGCTCTGGGGGCCAAATGCAATTTCTCCCCCAACTCAAATACATTTTCCATTCGCGCACCCCCCCCCCTCTTTTGTATTTCGCATTTTATGTTTCACCATTTTGCACACATTTTTTGCACACCCACTGCCGCCGTTGCCCACTGTTGTTGCCGAGAAAATGAAATCAGTAGAAAAGCCAATTGCGTTTTCATATGGCAATCTATAGGCAGCAGCCGTCAAAAGGCCAAAGAAAGGAATCAAATTTTATTGAAAGCAAAAGGCAGAATCAAAAGGCAGAAGCCAGAATGGAACATGAATGAATGAGAGTGCTGCTAAAAGAGGGGAAGTTAAACATTTTCTTGAAAAAAAGAAAAGCGCGTTGAAGAGAGAGAGAGAGGGAGATGCCGCGCGAGGCCAGGATTTCGTGAGGTAATCTCATATATCTCTCTAATAAACGCGAATATGCTCTAGTTGAAGGTCCTTCTAGAATGAATAATATGAAATAATTGGTAATGCATTGTTTTAATATTTTTTCATGAGAGCTTGGCTCGTGTGCATTTATTGAATATGCATTTTAATTCATTGAAGTTGGCGACAGCTCTACTTTCTGGACAATTATTCTAGTGTGTTGGTGTAGTTCTTGGTGTTGGTGTAGTTCTTGGTGTTGGTGTAGTTCTTGGTGTTGGTGTAGTTCTTGGTGTTGGTGTTTTCTCTGCTGCTGGTGATTGAGTGTGTGAATTGTTCGATCCGAGGTTCAGTCCATAGAGTCCTTAGAATTCATCCTCGGAAAATGGACCAGAGCCCCAGGAAGGTGGATATGAACGCTGAGTAGGGGAGTGGCCTAGAAGGAACAAACTCTGAACGGAAAGTGCATCGGCTTCTGCGCTGTTGAACGTGGATCCAACCAAGTACCCCTCCGAACGTTGATCAAGCTCTTCGTATTCACTGTTGTATTCTGAATATGTCGGAATGTCCTCCAGCTCCACGATGGGGCAGTAGCGAGACATCAGGATCGGACCCGAGTCCACATTGCGTGCCGCGTGGCGCCGGCTGCGACCGTTCTTCTTGCGCTTCAACCTCTTGCTTGTGATCGAAAGAGGACGGTTCTTTGCAAAGAGCCTGCCGGTGGGCATGCGGTTCTGCCCAGAATCGTTTTCGGTGACTTCGATATCCAAACAAAACGGATGAAAGTCCATTGGGGGTCTGGGGCTCGACATGTGGTCCGTTTTGTACACCTTGATCATCATGCTGGCCTCGTAGTAGTCGTCGTTGTAGCCTACGGCTCCCTCGCAGGGTGGCTCGATTCCGGCTGCTCGGTCCCGCGCCGCATTCGTAATAGCTTCGATCTCCTCCTTGACGTCGTCGAAGATTCGTCTCTCGCTGGTGAACGCAACGGGCATCAAATCTTGGAAGGGGCTGCAGTGCACCCTCGGGCGCGGCGGCTGAATGTACTCCGGGTAGGGACAGTTCTTAAGCTCCCGCATGATTTCATAGGCCCTCTCCATCGAGGACTTTGTCCCCTCGGGCAGCTTCCATTCGCCATACCTATGGTCGTCGTTGTTCACCTCCACATAGGGTTGGGGATTCACCTCCTTTTGAAAATTTATTTGGGAAAAGGTGTGAATAAGCTCGGTCATCTCCTCGACAGTTATTAGCTCCATTTCGCGTGGCGGTGGGATATGCGGAAAGCGGCTTTTTATTGACTTAGCACGTCCCATTATGTTTTGACTCACTAAATTTAGTTTTAGAAATGATTGAACTTTTCAGTTTGACTCTGGATTTGTGCTGTGTCACAGCTAGCTATATCAAAAACCGAATGACTTTGACTTTTTATAGTTCCAATCACAGCTCATCACAATGAAGTATTTGCTGACGTGTGCTGGAACTAGTTCTGGAGCCATAATTAAGCTCTTGCTGCAAAGACAGGGACCTGTCTCCAAACACGGCCCCCGGCAGTTGAGGACACAATAACCTTTCCAAAATTTTTAGGCTTTCTAGTTGAGCTGGGGGTAACACTGCGGCAGAGATTATCGATAGTTGCAGTTCTTAGAACCAGTTTTGCTGTCTGTGTTGGAAAACATCATTTTGTCGCAAATGGTTCTTTAGTTATTCGACTGACAGCCGGGAAACGTGTTCAGAGACGGCTGCGAACACTTATTTTGTGTGTTTGTCTACCATGCAATCTCTCGTAGCAATTTTAGCAAAGTCCAATGTTGTACAAGTATTAGTAGTGTCTAATGTCATGTCGTACAGTAATTTGATAGGACCATATTCAATGTACAGCGCAGGTGCAACCCTGTGTGGTGCAGCTGAGCCACGAAAACCAAAGAAATTATATCTAAATTGCATTAAAAGTGTATATATTTTCACCATATTTAATTTTATATTAAATCTCGGGGTCCTTTGCTCTACTGCAGAAGACTCTAAACGTTTTTTCTTCCTAGCACAGACTCTACAGCCCTTCCATTTGCCATTTGCTTTCCAACCACGCCACGCTATCATTTCGGTGGGGCATTATTACACGACCCATTTAAATCCATAAAACCCTAATAATTGTCTGTGCCATAATGTTTATGTGTATTGTTGTTGGCGTCTCTGTTGTTTCCCCTACTAATTGTTCAATGATAAGAAAGCAAAGGATGGAGTATAGGGGGAAGAGTTTCGGTCGGGTTAAACCCTTTTTTGCGGGCTTTAACCGTTTTCTCCTCCCCGTTGAACGTCGTTTACATGACACTTGAGGCTTAACCCTAGGGAAAGCTGGCAAAATGTGTTAAACCATTAAATGAAATTGAAATTCTTGCCGAGTTTACTTGATTATACTGTCACCAATAATTAAACGTCGCAACAAGTTGCCACCCCACCCGGCACCCGGTACTCGGCACTCGGCACTCGGCACCCAGCAGCCACCAGCGACAACCCACCCTCCACACAGGCAACTAGCACCTACAGCCAAGGACGCGGCATGAAGAATGAAGGATGCAGAACGAAGGACAATGCCACTGGGTAATGGGGACTCTCGCAAACGGTTTAAACCGGTCTGCCAGCCCGCTGGCGCGTGATAAATTGTACTCATTAAAATATTTTAATTTACTTGCCAAAGCGCGACCCACAAATGCCGCGACAGCCCCAAAAAGGGGGGGCTGGGCGGCAGCCTCGGTTAAATGTAACATTAAATTAATGCTCGACACATTTTGGGGCAGACGATGGCGGATGGCGGTGTAAAAAGTTATTTTCGCTGGATGTTTTGTTATGTTTTATTTTCGACATAATTGGTTATATTAAGGCGAGTTTGTCAGCCGACACCGCCGGCTCTGCCAACTTGAGCACCGCAGAATCTACTCCTCCGTGCATCGTGCATCGTGTGGTGGGAACATGTGCTATGCTAGCGACCCGGAGATGTCATCCAGCCAATTATACACATGTGTCAATAAGCATCCATACTGGACGGTATCGATTCATATCTTCTGTTTTTACGAGTAGATATAGTATTCGCACATAGATTGACAGACACATATGTACTTTTAGCTGGCTATATAAACCTATATGACCTTTGAATGGGCTAATGGTAATCGATCTGATGGCTGGTATCGATAATGGTGTACTTTATTATATATTTTTTATATAACCATATGTATCGTATCCCTGATAATAAGCATGTCTGACAGTTGATCACTTAATGTTATTGATTATACGAGTGCCGGGCATAATATTTATACACTGTTAATATTCCATACAAAATAAGCACACATGTAGATACATTTTATCCATTTTATATGCGTAATTCAACCTCGTTTACTGAAAACTTGATGTGGCATCAATTACGAGCCGATTGCCGCTCGGGGATTCCCCGTGCCGGATGAGGGAAGCTGCTGTTGCAGTTCTGGAATGAACGGATAATCAGAATTGTGTAAATTACCCGAAAATGTCATCAAGTCAATTTGCAAAATGAGAAAAGTAATCAGTAAGAGAAACACTGAGAAGTGGTTTGGGTAGGGGAGGGAGACGGAGAAGGAGAGGGCGTGGGCGAGGGCGAGGGCGACGGCGAAAATACCGAACAAACACACAAATGCAAAAAGTACTTAAAATTTAAATCACTTCACAGCAAATCCTCTTCCACACGGGTCTCTCTATCTGGCCTTCTTCTCTTTTACGATATCCTCTTACCACTCTGTCACTCAGCATATCTCTTTCTCTGTCTCTCTCTCTCTCTCTGTCTCTTTCTAGCACACACACACACACACATATCCAGCAACAATATAAATTATATTTTGAGGGTAAATAAAACACTTAACGCCCTTTTAGCGGTTGACACCCTACCTCCCCCTCTGAATCCACCATGATTCCTCCCAAAATCACCCACGGTACCACCCCCCTACCCCTCACCTAATCCCCGCGGAAAGCAGAGCCACGATATGCTCTGTTAACGGCGCGTTCTCGGGAAGGACCGACCCGACTCCCCTATCCCAGTCGAGTAAACACATTGTCGCAGCGGGCGTCCTTTGAGCCATCATTACCAAAATGGCAGGCGGGCAGACGGCAGAAGAGCAGCGGAAGGCAGGGCGGAGCTAAGGGCGAGGGCGAGGGCGAGGAAAACGAAGACTGAGACAGAGACTAAGACTAAACAAATTTGCCCCGCTGATGTCTTCGTCAGCTTTACTTTTTCTCATAACTGTCAGTTGACAGCTTCAGAGTTGCTTTTTCCATCCAGCCAGAGTTGTCCTCCGTTTCCGCCTCGTCCTGGCGTTGACGAAAAAACTTTGCCGCTTTGTCGACGTTAGCTGTTGTCGTACCCAGTACATAGTCGCTTAATGGAAGGGTACACTGTGCTCGAGTAAGTTTTCTGACCGCCCCGATCTGTAACAGGAACTATATACATATAAAAAAGCCTTCTCATATTTCTACAAAGAAAATATTTATCGACTTCAAGGTTTTAGCCATTCTTACATATTGAAATCCTCTCTTGATATTGAGAATTTTGAATCGTAATTGTTTAAATCAGAAATGTACGAGTATCCGCTTCGGCTTTTAGAAATCTTCCTCGTGCCACAACTATGATAAGCAGGAACAGCAGGGGTATGCCAGGGGTATTCCATATTCGAAACAACGACTGTGTATTTTTTGCCATACTCTTCACTCATCATCCAGCCCACCAGCCACCCTTTTGTTTGGGTTTGTTGCTTTGGCTTTTTGGTTTTGGGCTGCGCGATTTGACATTAACCTGTCAGCGCTGTGCCTCCAACTGCCGCTTGGTGGCGTCTTGCATTTTATTTATGGGCGTGTGTCGCAGCCGCCTACATTTCTGATGCCACGGCGTCTGACTCAAGCACATAGACACAGACAAATCGACAGACTGATGTCCTGACAAACAGAGTAAATGAAAGTTTTTGCCCAACTCGTTTTTTGGTGTGACGATGAAGTGCGATAAGACTGTAAAGGTTTCAACACGAAAGTGTTGTTATCGGTGGGTGCTCTCGGACATTGGTTCATACGGAATACACGTATTCGAATGGATCATCTGTTCATCAAATTGTTGCAATACATAACGAATTGGAGTAGCTCTAAATAGTATGATAGGAAATGGTGGTTTGGCCTGATCCAAGTATATTGTGCTTTGACAACTCATTCCTGGCCGCTGGCATTCGCTAATAGAAGAGCCAATCACTGGCACCTGCATATAGATATTAATTATATATTTTTGATGTGATAGATAAGCACTGGCGTGCTTTGATCCGCTGGGGCCTTGTTGCGCTCAAGAGTATGCTTAGAATTCGGCATTTAATTTGTGCACCCATGTACCAAGTAGTCCCGCAAACGCACGAATACCATAGGACAATCGGGTACATTTTAAGAGCAAGAGACAGAGAGAGATAGAGAGAGAGAGAAAGGGGGGGAGGGGAAATTCTGGCTGCCACAGAAGACCGCAAACACACACGCACACATGGGCACAGGGGCACGCTTATTTGCTGGCTTTGTTCCTCAGCAGCTGCATACCAAGGCGAGTGTCCTGGCAATGTAATTAGTTGCTCGAGGTGCTTTAATTAAAATGTATATCCTTATTGTCCTCCAAGCAGCCCAGCACCCAGTACTCTGCCCAGCCCCATCGTAATTGTTCGTGTCACAATTAATTTTGTCAAATGGACCGACGCACCAACCGCAGCCCCGGCCACGCCTCAACAATTCAGCCTGGAAGCTACATAGATTTCGATCTATAGCTAAGGACTCGCAGGGCTCGCTCCTTCAGTAGCCAGTTGCAGAATCAAATTGAATGCCCAACGAGGCAGGCACTCGTGAAAATACAACTCCCTTAGATCGGATGGAGTGCTGGGTGGCCAGTGTTTTGTCAATCAATTTGCATATCGATGTCCTAAACATGAAACCCTCCACTCAATCGAACACCGGAGGGCCAAAGCTGCGTTTTCAATAAATAAATTTAATAACTGTAAAACTGCTAGCGGCCGTCAGCTCGATGCAACTGTGGCAAGTTGTGTTGCACAATTGAAAGCTATAACAAATGGAATTGAAATCTAAAACCAGAAACCACAATTCTCCACTTGCCCAACGCGCCCAAACCCAAGCCCCACATTGCACCCCCCACCTGAAGTTCGGTAAATAAATAATCAAGTTATGTATTGAATAGTCGTATGAGTACTCCCATTAGCTCCCAGCCCAACAATTATACTCGTAGTGGTAAGTGTCAAAAACTATTTGATAAGTTTTATGATGAATATTAAAGCGGCG